AGAATATCTAGAATGTATAAGAGCATAATTATGGTTGAGCCTGGTTCTAAAGGTGTGAACGTGTGAGGTCCAACTTTAGATGTTTGAGAGAGATAGCTGCGTACACTTCATTCTCTTCTTATACGCATTCATAATAGCTTGGCGTATACATTCATAAACTATTGTAGAGAATATGCTAAATAATTTCCTGGCTATCCCTTGGGTTACAGGAGTCAAAGGGGGTTAGAAAAGATGGGAATGGGAGGTGAGAAGATAAGAAAAGGAAAGACGAGAAGATTGTAAATTGGGAAGAAAAGATGAAAATATTATGTTAAAAGAACATGATAATTAAAAGTAATGATAAGAGTAAAACCTTTTTTCGCCAGTTTGGACAATTTACAATTAAAAGAATATCCTTTATGTTATGATGGAAACATTAAAAGATTTTTTTTTAACTAATTGATTATGAAAAATTTTAAAAATTTGACAGAATGATTTATAGGTTTCAAATGACAAATTTTTAATTTAAAATAGAGAATTAGTGAATTATGAAAAAACACGTAAAAATCAATTGAATAATTGTTATGTGAGTAAAATGATTTTCTATTTCAAATTCTACATTCTTAGTTTTGGAATTTTGACTGATTGTAAATTGCAAAGATCCCGGAATAAGAACCAAGGTCTCAATACAAATATTTCATTAGTTTTAGATGAGATCCGTCTTGGGCAAATATTCCTGTTATTTCACAGTTTTCAATAATTTGAGAAAAACGTGAGAGAATTTGTTGAAGATAAAATCAGACGAATGGTGGAGAGAACTAAATTAGTTTTCTCAACAATCTCCCAGGATCAACACACTACAATTAATACCTAGGTCAAGGTACAGTGTGCGATCATACAACTGACCATATTCGTTAATAATCCATTGATCACTTGGTAAAAATAATAAAATCACGATATTAATTTTTCAATGATCATTTCATTGATGTATCAGTTTATTTGTAGATCCGTTATCGGTTTATAAGTTGATCAGTAAATCTGTCGATCAGTAAATCTGTCGATTAGTAAATCAGATGTTAAGTAGATCAGTTGATCAGTAGATAAGTTGATCAGTAGATAAGTTGATCAGTAGATCAGTTGATCAGCAGATCAGTTGATCAGTAGATCAGTAGATCAGTTGATCAGTAGATCAGTTGATCACTAGATCATTTGATCAGTAGATCAGTTGATCAGTAGATCAGTTGATCAGGAGATCAGTTGATCAGTTGATCAGTAGATCAGTTGATCAGTAGATCAGTAGATCAGTAGATCAGTTGATCAGTAGATCAGTTGATCACTAGATCATTTGATCAGTAGATCAGTTGACCAGTAGATCAGTTGATCAGGAGATCAGTTGATCAGTTGATCAGTAGATCAGTTGATCAGTAGATCAGTAGATCAGTTGATCAGTTGATCAGTAGATCAGTTGATCAGTAGATCAGTTGATCAGTAGATCATTTAATCAGTAGATCAGTTGATCAGTAGATCAGTTGATCAGTAGGTCCGTTGATCAGCAGGTCAGTTGATCAGCAGGTCAGTTGATTGATTGATCAGTTGATCAATAGATTAGTTGATTTCTTCTTCTTCTTCAGTAGATTATTTGAGAAAAGAAGACCAGATCAGTTGAAAAGCAAAGTTATAGATTAGTTAAAAAGTGCGCAGTTTTCTTGGTAGATCAAGTGATAAGTTCAGTTGATTAGTAGTTCCGTTAATGATTATAATCAGTTATTAATGAATAAAAATTGAATGAATTAAGCAGAAAGTACTCTTAGTCTAGCAAGATACAGGATTAACCACCAAGGATGAGACTGTAAAGACGACCTAATGCTTTCAGAATAGGACGGTTTAAAGCTTAACTTTTTGTATTTCATTCAATTGAGTATCTTGATGGTTTACTTAATTAGCAAGCACAGAAATAAGCCTGTTTAAGCCTGAAGGGAACCCTGTATGTAAGAAAAGGGACTTACAAATTCCGTACAATCATACCTTTGTGGGTAACCCTGCATTAAGAATAAAAGAATGAATGAAAAGATGAATAATAAATGACGAATGAATGAAAAGATGAATAATAAATGACGAATGAATGAAAAGATGAATAAAAAATGACGAATGAATGAAGTTATGAATGCTCTTTAGTGCAGAAGATATGTGAGAATTTTAGGCTTGGATGCATCCAAGTGCATATCTGTTTGTCTCGTAAACTGTTATTGTTTGTCTGTGGAATTAGTTATGTGTTTGTTGAATAGCATGTTGAATAGAAACTGACAATGCTGAACTCATATAAAAGTTTAGTTTCAATAAATTTACCGATTAAAGGGATTCTTCACGCATTTGGAAAGAATTCTCCAATTTTCGGAATTAGGTGAACAACTAAGACTTAACTCTGAAAAACGACATTGGGTGTTTTTCGGGGAGAAAATCTCGATGGTGATGTAACAGAGCGTATTGAATTATTTATGGCCCTCGAGGTCATCTTGAAGCAATAATATTTGATTAGTTGTATAAGTGTTTTCATTTTAAAAAATGGGGTATTTTATCAATTTTGAAATTGGTGAGCAGTCCCTTTAAAGTTTTATTTTGTTGGAAATTTCAAGACGTGAGAGGGGGTCCAATAAAGGGAAAATATTTATAATTTTCAATTGGAGGGAATGGGGGGGGGTAGGGGATAAAGGGGTATGGCCCAAGTTCCTGCAAATTCTGATTAAGTTAAGTATGATGCTGCCTAGATGTCCGCAATGCTGCAGGAGAATCCGTGCAAAACTGTGCGAAATTCTGTCAACAATAGACCTCCGCGAAATGACCGCACGCAGTGTGCAATTTCAAGAGAAATACTCGCAAAAATGAATAAAAATGAATTTATTCTATTTTTTCCAGTTTTCAACTCTAGAGTTTTGCATAGCTTCACACACGGAGAAGAATAGAAACATTTTTGCAAAAAAATCTTTGTAAAAAGTTTGTTTTTCTTCATTGTTTTTTTATTTACAATTTTGTTATTCTATCCCTGCTGTAACTGAGGCTGTTTGTACAGTTTACACTCTGTTAATTATATTCATCCTGTTTTTATACTGTCAGCAACTAAAAATACAAGTTTACATAGAGCCTGGAGCAAGAAACTTAAACACAGTTCACGCTAATAAAACTGGGTTTAGATAGCTAGGTTTCGAGGGTACAAAAAGGTTCTAGAATTTTTTTTGCATGTCAGAATTTGTTTTAAATTGAAGTTGAAATTGCCAGAAGATTGAATAACTGATAAATTATATAATTGGCAAAATGTTTGTTCGAAAACATGGATCACAAGATTTCATTATTTCTGAGGGAAAAAAACAACACAAAAAAGAATAAAAACAAAATACTTCTCTTCACGAAGGAACTCAAATCTCAATTCGAATTTTCTAATCCTTTATTTTTGCAACCAGGTGTAAAACTTTAGACACATAGAAATCAAAAACCTATTGCACCAAGTTGCAAGACATTATATATTAGATATTAGATGTTGAGGCAAGTCTTCATATCATACATGATATACCACCCCCATAATTGGTGATATGATGTTGATATCTTAATTCATAGAGAAATTAAACTCAAGAGTTACAGGTCACCCTCGACTAAGCTTTCGGTGTGCACTGCAGTGAATTGCAGTACACTGGCCGAATGAATAGTAGGGTTTAGTGGAGGTGAGGTTATTTATTTCATAATTCTCTCAGATGTTCACAATGAACCTTCCCAGCAAAATTGTCTGGGAAAGTGAAGTGGATGGATTCACTTGACGGAAATGATGTATTTTGTGTACAGTCCCATTTTGCTTTGTATAATCTCAATGTATGTAATACATCCCTTACCCCCATCCCATTCAGTAAACCTCCCCCCCTCCCTTCAGTAAACCTCCTGCTGGTGAGATATTAGAGAGCTCTACGCCAGCATCTAAACCAACAAAACTAACTAGCCGACAAGGAGCCTTCCAATGTGCATAGATCTGAGGTGAGGTGGATAGAGTTTGTTTATATTCCAGTGTGTGTAGACCTGAGGTGAGGTGGATATGGTTTGTTTATATTCCAGTGTGTGTAGACCTGAGGTGAGGTGGATATGGTTTGTTTATATTCCAGTGTGTGTAGACCTGAGGTAAGAGGGATAGAGTTTGTTTATATTCCAGTGTGAATCCCCACCCCATGGCCTCTTCAACCCAACCCCTTTAAAGCGCGCTCCATATATTTGGCGCGGAGATAACTCTTGAAGATAGATCTAGTTAGAAGAGTTAGAACTATGCACCTTCAGTAATAAATATTTGCTGGAATATCCGAAGTAGTTCTGACGCAGCTATGCCAAGCATTTTAGCTTAAATTCTAAAAAATGGGATATCTTTTTCTTTTGCAAATTATACGTGTAATAAGTAAATTGGTCTCGATCAAAGTTTTATGAATTTCTATCCATGTTTTCTTAGATTATATCAAAGTTTTAAAATTCTAGCGAATATTTAGAAATTGCATCTAAGAGATAGAAAATTCTATCAAAGTTTTGAAATTGCATTTATTACTTCAGAAGCATAAAGGTTTTATGAGAATCTATCACAAGTTACAATATATGTCGCCCTATAAAATATTTCTCAAATACCTATCAGAGGTTTTATTGGGCCAATCTGTTAATAGAAAAGGTCGATCACAACATTATGATTTCCATGGAAAGATAGTAACGAATTATTTACAATGGTACCCTTGAAACCTTAATATGATCAAAAATGTGAAGATAACGAGTTTTACCTGAATCGAAAAGTTAATTTCTCCAATCTTTGTTGTAAGCTAGAAATGCGCAAGTCCTTTTTCAAGGAAACCACAAATCAAAGAAAATGGTTTGAATAAACAAGAGCATATCTAATTCATACTTGATCAGACAACGCGTTCAAGGGCACCGTTGTAAATCGGACATTGCCATCTGTGCATAGAGGTTTACTTGAAATTACGCTTACAGTCCCTTTAAATTTCTGAAAGTTGGTGTACGGATACTTCAAATATATTTCTATTAGAATAAATATAAAGTAACCAATTACAAAATAAGACACAATTTACAGAATGAAGAAAAGTAGAATAAAAATTAAAAATACAGTTTCGCCTTCTTGTTTCCTTTACGACGCTTCTTTTTTCCAGAAGAATTTTTTCCACATTTTGAAGGGTTCTCCAAGCGGTCTAGATATAGAATTTGTATTTTTTAAGACATTTTTTTAGCAGAAAGTATTAGAAAATGTGAAGAGAATGTTTCTTTAATTAATTCTGTATCTAGATACCTTTCAGTTCTTCTTTCTGCCTGTTTGGTTCTTCATTCTCTTTTACAGAATCATTATCGTCTTCATTTTCAGCTTTCTTTCCATCTTTATCCTCATCATTCTTTCCTTCTTTATCCTCATCTGTCTTTCCTCCTTTATCTTCATCAGTCTTTCCTTCTTTATCCTCATCAGTCTTTCCTTCTTTATCCTCATCTGTCTTTCCTTCTTTATCTTCATCAGTCTTTCCTTCTTTATCCTCATCAGTCTTTCCTTCTTTATCCTCATCTGTATTTCCTTCTTTATCTTCATCAGTCTTTCCTTCTTTATCCTCATCAGTCTTTCCTTCTTTATCTTCATCAGTCTTTCCTTCTTTATCCTCATCAGTCTTTCCTTCTTTATCCTCATCTGTATTTCCTTCTTTATCTTCATCAGTCTTTCCTTCTTTATCCTCATCAGTCTTTCCTTCTTTATTTCTTACACTGTGATTGGAATGACACTGACAGGTAATATTAAAGTTTGCTGAAAATTCATGAACATTTCTTAAATGCCAATACGAAAAAAACTCTGTTTTCCTACGTTTGAATGGAAATAATTTAAATGAGATCAGAAAAAGTCTCATCAGTCATTGATAAAACCTTCAAAAATGCCCAAGAGATGATTGAAATTTTATCCTGTTCTAATTCTGAAATTCTGTAGTTTCTAAAATTCTACCCCCCCACACTCACACTTAAAGATACCCCTATTGCGCCTAATGTACAAGTTGTATAGTTCTAAATCCAATAAAGTTTGAGCAGAAGTTTATTATTAAATATTCAGTATACTGTCAAGAGCAGGGACAGGGGGAAGGGGGGGGTAATGGGGGACAAAGTGGGGGTAGGGTTTG